AACACAATCAAAGGAAAGCTGGAGTAGCCATATAGATATCAATGTAGATTTTAGAATACAGAATACTATCTGGAACAAAGAAAGCCATTTCATAGTGATAAATAGGTCAATTCATCAAGAGGCTATAATAGCCCTAGACATTAATATACATAATAAGAAAACTTCAGACTACATGAAACAAACATTGATAGACTCACCAGAGAAATAGACAAAGTCATAAGAGCAGTTGGAGATTTCAATATTTTTCTCTCAATAATTGGTGGAACAAGTAGAGAAAAGGTGGTAAGGATATAGAAAATTTGAACAAAATTATTAAGCAACTTGGCACAATTTACATCTATAGAACATTATGCCCAACCACAGAATATACACATGTAAACATATTTACCAAGATAGACCATATTCAAAGTCATAATAGAGGTCAAAATAAATTCAAAAGAATTCAAGTCATCCACGTATATTTTCTGACCACAATAGCGTAAATTAAAAATCAGTCCTGACTGGTGTGGTTCAGTTGGTTGGAGTATCATCCTGTTAGCTGAAAGGTCATGGGTTTAATTCCCAGTTGGAGCACATACCCAGGTTTTGGGTTCAATCTCTGGTTAGGCACTTATTGGAGGCAACCAACTGATGTTCCTCTCGTTCTCTCTCTATCACCCCTCTCCTCTCTCTCTAAAATCAATGAAAGCATGTCCGTGGGTGAGGATTGGAGGGAAATTCAATAAGAGAAAGATCTCTGAGAAAATCCCCAAATATTTGGAATAACCCTTGGGTCAGAAACAGAAATGAAAAGAAAATTAGAAAATTTTGATCTGATAAAAATAAAAACACACATACAAAAATGTGTGGGCTGTCTCTAAAGTAGTATTTAGAAAAAAATTGGAACAAAAACAATAAATAAAATCAATACAATCAAAAGCTGATTTTTTGAGACTATTAAAATGAATAACTGCTAGCCAGACTTACAAGGGACAAAAGCAAGATACAATAATACAGAATACCAACATTAGGAGTAGGAAAAGTAAAATTTCCTACAGATTCTAAAGATAGAAAAGAAAAATAAAGAATATTAAGGACAAGTTTATGCAATAAATTCAACACCTTGGATAAAATGGACAGATAAAATATATCAACTAAGCTCACTCCAAAAAAAAAAAAAAATATTGATGTCTTAAATAGCCTCCCTATGTCTATTAAATAAATTGAGTTTGTAGTTATAAATTTTCCCATAAAGAGAACTCCAGGCACAGATAGCTTCACTGGTGAATATTCACAAACATTGATGGAAGAATTACTATGTTACACAGACTTTTCCAGAAATTGAAAAGGAGTGAATATTTCCCAGCTCTTCTAAGTGGGACCAGCATTACTCTGATACCAAATGAGACAAAAACAAAACAGAAAAGAAATCACAGGTGAGTATCCCCCATAAACATAAATGCAAAAATCTTCAGCAAAATACTAGCAAGTCAATTATAATGTGATGCCAAGTGGAAATTCTAGGTTCACTTAGCATTCAAAGATTCATCAATTTATTTCTTGTATCAATAACCAAAAGGACAAAAATGCACACTTATCTCGACAAAAAAAAAAAAAAAAAAAAATCATTTGAATGAATGTCATATCCATTCGTGATTCTTTAAAAAAAAAGTCTCTTAAAGCAGGAAAAGAAGGGAACTTTTACAAAATGTGATGCATAGTGTTTCCAGGGTAGCTTGCAAATTGATTTAGACCTTGTGTGAATTATTATATCTGTACTAGAGGCCTGGTACCTGGGATTAGTGCACTGATGGGGGGCATGGCCTGCAGGGATTGCCGGCTGTGGGAGCACCGCTCATCCTGGTCAGCTGAGTGGCTGTGGAACCACCCTCTGAGCGGCTGCTCCCTGGTCTGGCATCTTCTGTGGAGCCAGAGCACTTGTCTCTCCAAGGGACTCAGTTGGGGCTGGGCCCAAGGACAATAGTACTGAGAGGCAGGGGAGTAGGCCTCAGTCCAGGGGCAGCCACCAATTCACCTCTCAGCCTCCGGGGTCAGCTGTGTGAAGAGGCAGCAGAGAGCAAGGAGGAGGAGCCTGGAGCAAGGAGGCTATTATAGCCAGCCCAGGTTCCTGCCCATTGGCTCGAGTTCACAGCGGGAGCAGCCGCCCATCCCAGTCAGCCAAGTGGTGCTCCCACTGTGGTATCACACTGACCACCAGTGGGCAGCTCCTGCATTGAGTATCTGCCCCCTAGTGGTCAGTGCACATCATAGTGACTGGCCCACCGGTCGTTTTGCCGTTCAGTCACTGGGCTTTTATTATATAGGGTAATTATAAAGGATTGGAGGCAACACTGTGAAAATCTACATGCTGGCATTTCAGTTACACACACTCATGCCTTCAGCACTTAGGATCCCTCAGGAGTAAGCTGGCTGCTGGCCCAGCATGCCTGAACCTGTCCATGAAACTCAGACACACTCGGGTGTAAATAATTAGTACCAGCTCAGTCTTGACTCTGCTAAAGGGGTGAAGACAGAAGACCAAGAAGCATCTACAGAGGAGATGGAAAAAACAATTGGAATTTCTTACATTTTTAATCCTATCAAGGGCTTTTATTGTCCATCTCTGTCCCAGAATAAAGGCACAGTTTTAATAGGTGTTAAAGCCAAATGGGAAAAGACAATAAAGAGGAAAAGGCCCTTTCCAGGCTGTACCAAACTTGAATGTGCTAAGATCAATACACATCATACATCAGAAGGAAAGAAGGGGAGACTATCCCAAGATTTTCTACTATTAACCAAAGCAATCCTTGTACTCACTGCAACCTGAAGGTAAAACTGGTTTCTCTTCAAGGCCTATTTTGTCCCACAAAATCCAGCCAATTGTCTTGCAACTTAAAAACCTAAATGTAATGAGTCATACTATTCAGCTCTCAATAAAGGCCCTTGTAGTTCTTAAGGCTCCAGAGTCAGCCTCTAGTGAAAGAGAAAGAAACTCTGAAGGTACATTTTCTGTTCATTTCCTATTACTAAGTGCCTGTATGTGAGAATGTGGTCCACACCCTTATCAAAACCCACACGCACATATGCAAGACCATTGCTGCTTCAACTCTGGAAGCCCTCACTGTCTACTACCTCACTCATCCCCAGGAGGCCCCTTACCTCTCCCCACTGTGGACATGGATGGTGAGAAACCAATGTTGAGTATATACCACATCCAGCTGAGGTAGATCTTTGGATTCTACAGATAGATGAGATGAGAGGGAGGATGAGAGGGGTGCAAGACAATAGATCCCATGTAAAGGGGTAACATGCTTTTACCACAGGCATTGGAGGTAGTCAGTGTTTGCAGATGTGGGTCCCAAATATGGGGTTATATGGAGCTCAAGAGGTAACATTACTTTTCCCTGCCTGAGCTAACAGTGAGAAGAACCAGACAGAAAGAACACAGATAGAAAGAAAAAAAAACACATAGATTTATCTTTATTACCAATAACGCTGACTGCGGACAATGTGCACTACAGGAGCAACCACGTAGGCTTTGCAGTACCGACTCACTGACTTAAACCAATTTCCACATCCACTCTTGGGCACTGCTGAGAAACAATGGAAATGTACAAGAATCCTCCAAGCAAGTGTGAGTCCACGCAGAGGGAGAAAGATGCTCCACCTAATTTTCATCACCGCTGAAGAGCAAATTGACAATGTGGAAAGGGCAACAATGTAGGGTGGTGGCTACAGGGCTGCACAGGACTTCGTGACGATGAAGATTAGCCAGTGACAGTAACTCATGGGAATGGAAAGGTGGGGGCACAAGCATACTGCTACTATAAAAGAATGGGCTTTGTGGGAACAGAGGTCACTTGGAATGATCTGAAGGAAAGAATCTTAGCTAAGTAATCATTTTAAAATGCTCCAAATTTTTAAAGAACGGAGGTAACTAAAGACACCTAAGAGGGGTGTGGAAAAATCATGGAATGTGGGCACATGACCAAGGCTAAACCAAAGAATCAGTATGGATGCCTATGAATAGCACCAGGAAGACTAAAGTCCTCACTGAAAAAGATGAGGCTCAAAGATTCCAAACAGAGCAAAAATAACTTGAAAGATGTTCCAATCGAAAAGAAAGAGAAATGGTCCCAGGGAATATGATGCAATGTTCGCAGATGACAAAGGCAGCTGACCTCACATTACTCTTGGGCAAGTCATTTTCTCTCTTCATGACAGTTTCCTGCCTCCTCAACAGGTGGAATGTATTTGACACCAAGTTCCCATCCAGCTTAATTTTGTTTCCGATGTTCATAAAGAAGCATGATCATCAAGCTTGGAAGGAGGGTATATACCCTAGGGATTTCTGTATCATCGTAGCACAGTGAGAAAATGTAGGTTGAATTAATAAGTGGAAAAGCTACCACAAGTCCAGTAAAAATCAAGCATGTCACATTGACTTTTTTTCTGCTGATGTGTTGAGAGGGAAATTCATTAACATAAAGGTTCTTCATTTGGATGATGTGTGTATGAATCCTCTAAAGATATACTTTTAGATAAAACAATTGGAGAGTAGAGAGGAAAATGAGAGTGAAGTTATATAGAAACAATAGGCACAGTATGTATTTTTGTCATTCTAACTGTGTGACCTTGTAAACATTACTAAATTTCACTGGGTCTATTTTTTTTTAATCTTTATTGTTGAAAATATTACATATGTCCCCGTTTACCCCCACTGTCTTCTCCCAGCCTGTCCCTGCTGCCCCCCCCCCACATTAGCCCCAATCTTTCACCTCTCACCCCAGTGTCTGTGTCCATTGGTTATGCATACAAGTTCTTTAGTTGAACTCTTATGCTCCCTAATTCTGTTCCCCCATCCACCCTCCCCTGCCTTCCCTCTGAGATTTGACTGTTCAATGATTATATGTCTCTGGATCTATTTTTGCTCATCAGTTTATATTGTCCATTATATTCCACAAATGAGTAAGATCATGTGATACTTATGTTTTTCTGACTGGCTTATTTGTCTTAGCACAATGCTCTTCAGGTCCATCCATGCTGTTGTAAATGGTAAGAGTTCTTTATTTTTTTTATAGCAGTATAGTATTCCATTATATAGATGTACCACAGTTTTTTATTCCATTTGTCTTCTGATGGGTCTGTTTTTGTTAGTAAAAAAAAAAAAAAAAAAAAAAAAAAAAGCACTTTGGCAATTTAATTCTGAGCTGATTTTTTACTGTAAAATGTAAAGGTTCTAAAGTTCTAGAAACTTGATATCAACATGTAAGGAGACTTTCGTAGACTGCAACAAGAACTTTGCTTTGGTTTTAGAGAGGGAAGAGGGTGAGAGAGAGCGTAAGGAGTTGTTCCTCCCATTAAGGAGCAATGGATTCTGCACTGGCCTTTACCAGCAGGAAGCCCCGCAAATGCCAAAAGCCCATACCACTGGTGCTACCATTGCCACCACTGTTCTACAGTTAAAGTGAGCTTCTCCACCTCCTAAGGGGACTTGTATTGCTGTTCACAAAGCTTTGAGCATCTTGGAGAACACTGAGTATCAGAGTAAAAAGACCTTGGTTGACAAAACGGAGGTCATGGCTGCCCCTTCTTTCTCTTCACCTGGCTGGGCAATGGCAGACACCCTGCCCCTGAGCAGGTCCCTGCTGGCACCTCAGACCAGGTAGCTGCAGATTTGACTGCTCAGCAGACATTGGATATTTATCTTATTTAAATGGACGATGCTGCTGTAAAAAAGAAGGAAGCCTTACCATTTGCAACAGCATGGATGGAACTGGAGAGCACTATGCTAAGTGAAATAAGCCAGTCAGAGAAAGATACATATCACATGATCTCACTCATATGTGGAACATAATGATCAACATAAACAAATGAACAAAAATAGATTCAGAGACAGAGAAGCATCGATCTAATGCTCAAACCTCAGAGGGAAAGTAGGGGCTGGTGAGGGTAAGGAGGAGAGATCAACCAAAGAAGCCTAACCAATGGACATGAACATGATAAAGGCATGAACGTGAGTGGGGTAGCGGGGAAGGACACATATTTAATACCTTAATCAGTAAAGAAAGAAAAAAAATAGATTCAGAGACAAATGGTGGGGGTGGGGGTGGGGGTTAGAGAGCAACCAAAAGACTTGTATACATGTATATTAGCATAACCAATAGACACTGGGGTGGTGGGAGCTTGCCCCCAGAGGTGGGAGTGGTGGTGGGGGATGTAAAACTTTAAACAATAAAAAATAAATAAAAATAAAACACACATTTACCTGGAAAAATAAATAAGTTGGATGAATATAAAAAACAAACTTTCAACAATAAATACAAATTTAAAATAAAATGGACTTCTCCCTGTTTCCTCAGGGCTTAATTTAGCATGGAAGACTGTTGATAAATGATTAATAAGTAATTGATTAATTAAGATCATGATAAATCTTAGGAATTATATATATAATAAAATTCATATATATATATATTGGACATATAAGATATCAATAAATATAATGTACAAAATAATATTTTATAATTCAAAATGCCTTTTTAAAATGAAGCCATATTCAGTCTACTTATAAATATTTGCTAGTTCTGTAGAAACAATTTTCCTTGATTCTCTATATGATCTTGCTATTATGAGTAAAGACAATGATATTTGAGGGACAAAATAGGAAACTGATTTCCCACTCCTGAGCAAGCATAACTGACTAGTTTAGCTGCAAACCTAAGGCAAAAGTATAATATTGACTTTTTCTTCCCACTGTTTTACTCTGAAGCAGCTATTTTCTGCTTTTACCAGTTGTATGCAGCCATCTATCATGGTCAGTAATCTCCAACAAAATAAGAAGAGCAAAAATATAAAGAGGCAAGTGATTCACCACTAGCCCTGATGCCAGCTGGAAGGGAGAAGGCCATTTCTGACTTGGAGCTAGCAGGCACAATAGCACATTATTCCCAAGGGAGCTATGACTTGAAATTTCTGAATGGACTTGCCACCAGTCTCAGCTGGCAGCCTACTGTGCATGCTCAGGCATGCAAAGTATTCAAATATACTTCCCTTCCTCCTCTTTCTACCCTCCACCCCCCCAAATATTGGGACAGTTCCTGGTGTTTCTATAATCATCAAAAAACAAGGCCAGATTTTCACTATTTGTTTTCTCCCATTGATTTAATGCTTCTCACTATGAGAGTATAAAATTTCATGCTATTCTCTTACATAAGGCATTTCTTTTTTCTTTTTTTTTTAAACTTTATTTATTTTAATATATTTTATTGTTTTTTTTTTTTTTTTTTTTTTTTTTTTTTTACTGAGAGGAAGAGCGAGGGACAGAGTTAGAAACATCAATGAGAGAGAATCATCTATCAGCTGCCTCTTGCACACCCCCTACTGGGGATGTGCCCACAACCAAGGTACATGCCCTTGACCAGAATCGAACCCGGGACCCTTGAGTCCACAGGCTGACGCTCTATCCACTGAGCCAAACCGGTTTCAGCCATAAGGCATTTCTTTTTCTCAAATACGAGGCACCACATATAGGGTGACACCTCTGATTGCCAGTAATGAGTACTGAGACTAGCAAATTACAGGCTTTGATAGTCATATAAATGGAAGCAAGAAGGCCACCACCCCAGCCACTTTGTGGTGTGGCGTGTGGGTAAAACAAGGGCCACTCGGGCAGAATCTGCATTCCAGTTCCAGACGACCCCATTGGGAATGAGACCACCTAGCAGACTTGACCATACACAAAAGGTTACTAGGGAGAACCAATTATGCTACGGTCCTCAATAGAAAGAAAAAAAACCGGAACTAATAACAGCCGTTGTTATTGTGTCCTGTAATTAAATGTCATTCACATGTTCCTAAAGGACTATGAAGAACACATTGTCCTTATAGGACATTTTCCACAATGAGCTATGAATGTTGCCCTTGCAGCGAGTGATAAAGAGGGACATGAAGAAATAAAATATGTTTTTCCAGTCACCATCCCCAACTCCCTTTCCCTAAGAGGGGAAAAAAGGATTTTTTTTTTTTTTTTTTTTTTTTTTGTGGCAAACATATTGGAGACATTGTCAAAGAACAGTTCCTCTCCGCATAAAGGTTACCTCTGTCAAACTGCCAAGGTCAGTGCCCCGGTGGGTTATCTGCCAACGAAGTGCCAGTTGTGAAATCTATACTGTGGCAGGCATGGAGGCGAGCTTCTCTCTCCCACCGTCCGCATGAATCGCCACCGTTCTTTGCCCCTTTGTACCAGGGCTGCCACTTTTCCCACTCTCTGCGCCCTCCTCATTGGAGGGATCTCCTTCCTCACGCGTGAGCTGAATGTGCCCTTGTCTGCCAGGAAGCCAGGCTCGCTGAATGCTGATTTCATGGGAGTCATTCAAGAGAGGCAAACAGTAGTTTCCCAAGCGATCCAAAATGAAAGGTGGCCTGAAAAGGCACAAAGTGCTCTGCTTGGTGCATGCTGCAGCGTTGGTGCTATTTTAAAACATTATTTTAAAAATGTCTTTGTTGAATTGGTTGGGGTGGCATTGGTTAATGTAATTATATAGGTGCCAGGCAGACAGCTGTGCAATACACCATCTGTGTATTATATTGTGTGTTTACCCCAAATCAGATCTCCTTCCATCACCACTTATCACCCTTTTCCCCTTTCCTGCTTGTCCACATTCCCCCTTCCATCTAGCAAACATTGTACTGTTGTCTGTGCCCATGAGTTTTTCTTTTATTTTCTTTGCTTAATCCCTTTACCCTTCCCACCCCTTTCTTCTCCTGACAGCCATCAGTCTGGAGAAGAGGAATATGCACTGAGTGGCCAGATTATTATGATCTCTGATAGATACACATATACTTATATGTATATGTTTTTATTTCTAAACTTTGGGAGTATTTTAAATGGCTTTGTCTTTTTTTATTGATTTTTTTTTCCCCAGAAAGGAAGTCGGATACTCAGAATCTGTCATGGGGGGAAAAGACTCAGTGTAGCTTGCCTGTGCAACTCAGCCCAGATGGACAGACAAAACTAAGAGCTGTTGGGCCCTCTGGTAGCAATCTTGGCACCGATTTGGAAGGTTGAATGGAGACAAGTTCCTAAACACTCCCAACCTCTTAGGTGGGGCTCATTGCAGAAGGGGAATGAGATACAAGGATTACAATTACAGAATGAGGGAACTAGATATTTTGAGGCTCCTCCTCAGGATGGAAACATAAGTCAGTTCCCAGCAACCAGGATATTCTATCATTGGATTTAAATGAAAACAAAGGAGTCCTCAACATACATTTAAAATATTAATTTCCTTCGAACAAAGAGCATTTATGTTAGTCTCCTGAGATATTTAAAGACAGTTATGTTTCTATCTTGAGTGTCCTCAGGTCTAAGATATGAATTTTTTTTCAGAGTAATTTTAATTGGAAATTACACAGATATTTGATGTATTTAGTCCTAATGCTATAAAGCTCTAGGTGGTCATCTATTGATTGTCAAATATCATGTTCTAGATTAAGCAACCCTTGTCCAGTTTATATATTTTGGAAAATGCATATAAAATAAAAGTCATAACCAATCAAAAATTCTAGAATAAAAATGTCTTTCCCTGTGTAACAATGTTTTTCCTTAAGGCAGATTAGAAATATGCTCTCTTATTATCCATAAGGAAGCCACAAAAGTCCATTGAGTACTTAAACTGTGGCTAGTCTGAATTGACATGTAATATGAATAAAAAAATACCAGAATTTGAAGATATATGAGAAAATAATAAAAATATCTTAATAAGGTTTTTATATTAGTTACATTCTGAAATTATATTTTAGATGTGTTGTATTAAAATATTATACTAAAATTAATTTTTTAAATGTGGCTAATAGAACATTTGAAATTACATATATGGTTCACCTGGTGTATCTCTTAGATAGAGCTAATATATACATATAGTTATAGTTAATAGTCAAGATAGAAGCAAATCCTGAGAAAAAGCACTTGAATTTTTATTTTTTTTATTTTGCCCAATCCATTTTTTATGTTTTATGCAGCCTACAGAGATATTTCATCTAGGAGAACATATGAGGATCATGTTAGGCAGAGGTATTTGACATCCAAAAGGTGGCCCTCAACATCAGCAGTATTGCTGTGATCACCAGGGAAGAAGGGTCCTTAACACATGAGGTGATGGACATACTAATTTTTTAAAAAAATATATTTTAATGATTTTTTTACAGAGAGGAAAGGAGAGAGATAGAGAGTTAGAAACATCGATGAGAGAGAAACATCAACCAGCTGCCTCTTGCACACCCCCTATCGGGGATGTGCCCACAACCAAGGTACATGGCCTTGACCGGAATCGAACCTGGGACCCTTCAGTCCGCAGGCCAACGCTCTATCCACTGAGCCAAACCGGTTTCGGCTGGACATACTAATTTAACCTAAACCCCGAAGTGGAAAAAAGGATGGGACCACAAACACATTACAATGCAAAATACAATTCATTGCATGGAAGCATTCCTATAAGATGTAACACACCACACTACAAAATATTGGGCTTACTATTTCTTACTCTCAGTAAAAAACTTTGTCTATTTCTATATTCTACAATTTAAAATGGAGGAGTACAAAACCTTTCCATTGGTTTGGCATCCACGTCATTAAATATTCAGCAAACTAGGTAAGTTTTTCAAATAATTTGTCTTTTTTAGTTGAAGCCTTTTATTGTCTTCAAAATCAAATGAACAGTCTCCTACTTTATGTCCCACAGGACTTGTTTCATTAGTGGACATTATGTGAATGATCATCAGTTCATAAAAGAGACTAGACTAGGAAGAAAATTCTTCCCTTTTTATAGGACGGATTTTGATTATTATTATAGTTTCTTTATACATAAGGAAAAAACTAACCAGTTACTAATTTATGTTCAATTCTTAAAGATGGGTGTAATGTGATATATTTAGGTTAACAGCTTTCTATACTTACTAAATACATATCACAACTTTGTACATAAATTTTGTCCTCATTTTACAAAGAAGAAAACTGGATACCAGAGATAGCAAATAGTGTGTCTATATTCACACAGTGTGTGGGAGAAAGGAAGGCATATCTGACTCCAGATTGGTCCCTTTTAGTCATGTAACTGCACTGCCTTTCAGCGTACGAATTGTGTGCACCAAAGCCAGATGGTGCATGTGTTTGAAATTTGCAAAATATTACATCCATCTAGTGAAAATCATGAACAAGAGAAGGACATGCTTAGTCATCCTTTAATATAAAAATGTCCTCAAACAGAACAAGAACCTTGATAAAAATACATAGCTCACAACAAAGATGTATTTTTGTTTTTTTTAAAACAGAATAACAAATCTAAGAATCAAGAAAATATATGTAGTTAAAAAGCATGGAACCACCCTAGCCTTAGCCAGTTTGGTTGAGTGGATAGGGCATCAGCTCTTAGATTGAAGGGTCCCAGGTTTGATTCTGACTCCAGTCAAAGAGCATGTATTTTGGTTTAAGGCTTGATCCCTTGTGAAGGAGGCAATCAATCCAATGTGTCTCTCTCACATTGATGTTTCTCTCTCTCTGTCTCTCCCTGTCCCTTCCACTTTCTCTAAAAAGCAATGGAAACATATCCTCAGGCGAGGATTAACAAAAGCATGGAACTATAGGTATGTTATCAACTTAAAATTTGTCTTTCCCTATAAGTATCAAGTGGTTTGGCAAGTATTTTTACTTATAAACTTTAAAAATATTTATGTCTGACCTAAAAATAATAACCTATAAATATCATATGATTTTTGCCTTCTAGTACTGCTTTCATATATATATATATATATATATATATATATATATATATATATATATATTTTTTTTTTTTTTTTTTTTTGAGAATGCCTGCTAAAATTGGCTTTGAAATGTATAATTTTTTTCTTTTCAGCCATGGAATCCATCTGTTTTCTTACACAAAGCCAGGGGCAATTAACAGAAAACACTATGATGTATTTCTTTAGAATGTGTAGATAATATTTCTGATCGAATAATTGGCTGTTTTTAAACAAATATACCTGGCTTAATATAAATTAACAGCTGGTCAGTGCATGACACAATGAAATAATAAGTTCCACCCACAAACTAACAGATTGCATTTTAAGCACTGAAAAAAAGCAGCCAAATTCACTAACTAATTTTAATGTCAGGAAAATAATTTTAGCATCATTTTAAAAGATTGTATTAAATGAACTTTCAGGTAAATAAAATTAAATTTGACAGACATATTCTTATGTATGTACATATTAATCTAAATTAAAGTGTGAGTGCCTTCATGATTCTAAATTGTTTTCAGTAGTTTCATGTTTATTACCTCCATCTATCCCATTCTCTGCCATTAAATTATGTTCTTTTAATATATAGTCTATGGCTTTTTAAATTTATTTTCAACCATCTGACCAGGTATGAAACTGTGACCTTCTGGTTCCTAAATCGATGCTTAACCACTGAGCCATGACAGCTGGGCTATCATGTATTTTCTATTTTCCTTCCCTTTGTGCCTCCTTGTCGAATTCCAAATAATCTCTTTAGATATACATTGTGGTTTCAGTGATTTTAATTTTTTACTTCTAATTTTCTAGTTTGTTTATCAGATTTGCTGTATTTTAAATCATATTGCTTGCCTATTTTGTGGTTTTGTGTTTTTATTTTCTTGAACTTTCTGGTCATTACTCTTTCTTGGTCCTTCAAGGTCTAATTTTGCTGCTTGTTTTTTCTTCTGACTTTTGTTCCTAGTAGCTTATTTCCTCTTCCCTTTTAAAATGTTGAACTATTAGATAATTTTTTTCTTTTGCATCTAATAAAATTATGTTGAACAATAATAGATGAGGATGAATTATGTCAAAGACGATTTGTTGTTAACCTATCTTTTACTAACTTATCTTTCATTTTTTTCATCGCTTTCTCTGCATTATTCTCTCAAATGCAGATCTACTTTCCAATGTAATAATACATTTTCCAGCTATTTACTCTGCTCTCTAAACCTCCCATTGTTCTTTTTATTGGAATGACTTAATTTTCAATTATAGAAATTTATCACTGTTTCAAATATCTTCATAAAAATATGTGCCATTTCACTGCCTAGGTTTTGAATTTTGTTTCTATTATATTTTAATCCTTATTTAACTTTTAATAAAATATTGCTACATACTTATTGTAGATAGAATATTCATGCCCATAGATGCCACTCCTGAAATGTTGTTGTCTTTTGAGTATGAATTTTACCAATAATTATTTAAGGAAACCCTTTTTTTTTAAGATGGTGCTGAAAGTTAAGAAGGAAGCCCCTGTCCTTCCCAAAGCCGAAGCTAAAGCAAAGCCTTTGAAGGCAAAGAAAGCATTGTTGAAAGGTGTCCACAGCCACGCAAAAAAAGAAAACCTACCTTCCCGTGGTGGCCAAAGACACTAAGGCTCCGGAGGCCGCCCAAATATCCTCAGAAGGAGAAACAAACTTGACCTCTATGCCATCATCAAGTTCCCCTGACTACTGAGTCAGCCATGAAGAAGATAGAAGATAATAATACACTTGTGTTCATTGTGGATGTCAAGGCCAACAAGCACCAGATCTAACAGGCTGTGAAGAAGCTCTATGACATTGATGTGGCCAAGGTCAACACCCTGATCAGGCCTGATGGCAAGAAGAAGGCATATGTTCAACTGGCTCTTGACTATGAGGTTTTGGATGTTGCCAACAAAATTGGAATTATCTAAACTGAGTTCAGCTGCCTAATTCTAAATATAAAAATTTTACACTGAATAAAAAAAGAAATAATGGGAAAGAAGGATTAATCACTTTGAGATTACCTCTTCTGTTACTATACTGCTTCTATTGAAGCAAAGTAACCTCCATCTTATATAATACTGTTGTTTGAATTCTCTGCTATTGTTAAATAGTCTATATCCTGTAAACTCTGTCATTATAAACTGTCACTTTAAGACCGTCTGTTATTCTGTAAAATACTTTGGTTTTAGTTCAAATAATAGAAAAAGATTAACTTAACTGTCTAACCTTGCAAACTAGTGATCCAATGTAATAGACTAAAATAGACTAATAGTGATAATAATTATGCCAAGTACAAACTCATTATGTAATCAAGGTTACAACTGTCTGTAACAATAACTCACACAGAGCCCTTTGTAATATCTGCAAACAAAGAGGCTCGAAGAGTAGAAATATGGAAAAACTTCCAGTATGGGTTGCTCAGAAATTGGGAAAGAGACACCTCCCTCTGGGCCAAGCACAACAAATGACACCTAAGTAACTGGCTCATTATGGCGTCTTATATCTCACTCGCTGATTTACAATATAACACTCAATGCAGAGTTTTGACAAGAGTTGTAACAGAAACTTGAACTGCTTTCTAATAATGCCTCTTTCTCTCATCAGCCAGATAGCATCCAAAATTTTCACCTGCATTTCTTGACTAATTTCTAAATATAGGACAGTAGGATTAAGTTTTCATTGACCACCCTGGATATTTTGAATTTCTCCAGTCATGCGTGACTCTGATGTCAGTTATTGTGCAGTGCAAACTCTTCATATTCTAATGACAGCCTTCATTATTTTTGTACATTTCAGGAGTAAAGTCTCTTCATGCATGGCACTGTGCGCAAGTATAGAAAATGTTTCTTCCCCCCAACTGATGAATAATTACTCCTCTTTCTATGAAGCTTCAAAAATTGCATCTCACTGTTCCAAGAAACTTGGATCATTTTTATAATGGAATATGGACAGTTTCTACTGTTTTATTTTCTGGATGCTCGAGATTTTGAATTGTGTTCATTGCTTGTTATATCTTCTCCATTGTGACTGAGGCTTGTTGAATGGCTTCCATTAAGTTTTTATTTGTGTCCCAGAAAATGTAGTATTGATTTCTATTACAGCTATTCCCTTATTGATGTCAGCTATTTTAAAATCTGTATCACCATTTTAATCTTCGGTCCCCATTATTTCTGTCAATAAATGATAATATCCTATTTTATCCTTCTCATGAGTGTTTTTGTAAATCACATCACCAGCAGATGCAGTTGGAATCCCTGCATTCATGAATTCTAAACTTCCACTTCAAGTCAATACTTCTGACTTATACTATCCAATAATTAATAGTTAAGCACATGTACTATTTAAATTCAAACATAAATAAATTAAATTAAAAATTCAGTTTCTGTGGTATGTTAGCTACATTTTAGGCACTCGGGAGACAGATGTGGCTGGTGGCTAGCATCTTGACAATGCAGATAAATGTAGAATATTTTGATCATCACAGAAAACTCTACTTGAGAGGACTTCTGCAGATGATGACCCATTTTATTCAAGGACCTTGACTATTACTCTAGCCGTGAAAGCAAACTCTTTCTGAACAACAGCATAGAAAGCTTTATCTGCCAGAGCACCATGTTCATGTTCTCTTAATCTATACAAGTGACTTTGTAAGTAGAAACCTCATAGTACAGCATAAAATGTGTACCTCTTATCCCATTATAGCTATTATAATAAAATAGGACTTCACAGTGAATTCTAATGAATCTAATGTGACAATACCAAGTGCCAGCAACTGTCCTCCTTAAAATAGTGCTGATCCATGAAGAGTTTTGAACATATCATATTAGGAATATACAATTTATATTCCTAAGTACAGTCATATCTGAACCATCATACCTTTTGTAATCATTAAAAAACCTCCCGAGAAATGGTATTGAAGGATTCTATTCATAAGGGATGACCTGTAGAAATTTTTCCTCAGTAGCCAATATTACTTTACTGATAGCTTTATCTCTGGAAATTTTTAAATGTCCAAAATTATAACAAAATATGAATCTTTACAAGGTGAATATATGACAATATTTCACAATCCCTTTTAAAGCATTAAATAATATCTGACTTAGCTGCTTGGTAACACCAGCTTCTTTTACTCACTGATACATAGCCTAAACTATTTGTTGGGTAGATGTCACCACCACTTTGATGTCATGACCTGAATCCTGATGTACCTACCACCTTTTTAAGAAAATGATTTTAGAGAAAGAGAGGAAGTACAGAGAGAGAGAAACTTTGATATGAGAAACATCAATTGGTTGCCTCTCCATGCACCCTGATTTCCGATGGAACTCGCAACCTAGGTATGTGCCCCAACTGGGATCAAACCTTCATCCTTTTGGGGCACAGCATAACGTTCCAACCAACTGAGCCAATTGGCCAGGGCCTGATGCATCACATTTTTTGCAGACACTTCCAATATGACAATCTGACTTTTTGGTGCTTGCGTATCTATCGAATTTAAAGTATAAATAGACATTTTTTTTGCATGTGTATATTATGTTAACACATTCTCCATCAATCATTCCTAATTGTATCATCCCATCAATACCCATTCCAAGAAATATCTCGTAACAAGAGGGTTACAAAAGGTCTATTGTTACTATCAATTACAAAAAATTACAAAGGTACTATGTATTGTAAAACTAGTCAGCTGGAAAGAGATGTTTAATTGAACCACCTGTTAGTCATTTGTAACTTTTTTTTAATCAGAGAAACCAAACTCCCTTCTGAGAGAGAATGTGGGAATTCCACTTGCTGTCAGCTTTCTGTCTATTGTCAACCACCAAAGGCAGGAGCAGAGAGTGTGAAGATTTTGTTTTACTGACCACTGTGACTATCACTGTAGTGTCACCCAACAGTACAACAATAGAGCCATTCACAAATCTAGCCAGTTTTCCAGAGAATATTTCTAGTTTCCTTTGGCTTAATTTCACAGCCACAGCTCTAGACCCTGTGCCCATTTTCCACAGCACTTTTACCTTCATTGGTGGGTACAAAGGATGTCACTCCAGCAGTCAGTCACAGGAATGTCCTTGTAACCTACTTAAATATAAGTAGATGTAAGGTCTTTTAAATTGTTCTGATATTTCTAGTTCTTGTGGTAAAATTTCTCCTATTTTTAATAACACTCTCAGAGTAGTTTGTTTACTTCTGTTCTCTCTGTGTGTGTGTATGTGTGTGTGTGTGTGTCAAAGATAGAGATAGATAGAGAGAGAGAGAGAGAGAGAGAGAGAGAGAGAGAGAGAGAGAGAGAGAGAGAGCGCCTTGAATTATGGACATGTCCAAACAACAGAGTTTTCATAAGTCCTATACCAATTGTTAATATTAATTTCCTTCTGATTTCTAAAAATCTACTGCAACAACTCCTACTGTTCCTTAAGCTGCTGAATATGAAACCATCACTATCGCCACAACTGATTTTAATTATGAGTTGTGTTCAAGTTCTTGGCACACAGGAATTTAATTTTGAATCATAGATATGTGCTATTTTGGGGAAAAAAGAAAGAATAGAAGGAAGGGAAGAAGGAAGGTAGGGAGGCAAGAAAGGACTTAGTTTCTTCATGGGACAAATATGGCCTTACATTGAGATGTACCCTTGTTGTGAAGATTACATAAATGAATTAGTTTCCTCTCCCCTAGAAATTAAGGATCTATTTAATAATATTTGCTAATTTATTTTACCTAATAATGAATAATCATTCTAATAGGTACTAGATTTCTCCTGGATACAGACAGATATAATAAGGGTCGCTTTTAGAGATTGTGGGCTCTAAAGAATTTAGTTCTTACTCGCCAATTCACCATCTCATGCCCTATCTCTTTTCCCCAGGATCAGTATTAATATTCTAACCCCTTGCTTCCTAAGTCTCACTGGTATCAGCACCTCTTTATTGCTTTACTTTGAGTTCTCTCTCTCTCCCCACTTTCCCGCAACCTGTCTCTCTGGAGGTCAATTGTGAATTTTGTTAGTCTTTAATTTTTACTAATATTTTTCTAAAATGATTCATTACTCAGTATATGATATTTTATGAGGAAAATTTAGCATTGATTATACATTTACTCATACAGAACAGTCTTCAGAACTCATTGATATTGGGGAAAGAGTAAAATCAGTTAAAATATTAAATCAAGCATTACAAAACATCATAATTTACAATTCAATTATACCTGTTTGCTCACAATAGAGCATTTTCTATAATGAATAATAAAAAACAGGCATCATATTAATCACTCTGGAATTTAATGCTTCTGAGTTCCATGAGAGCTGATCAGATTGTAATTATTTTCAAATAACCAATTAGACTGCCATTTTGTCTTAAAGTGCTTTTCTAGGTTTTCCACCTTTTTTTCTTGTCACCTTGTTGTGACTATAATTCACTATTAAATGGACTTAATTGTTCTTAAAATTATGTCTTTTTTAACTTTGTGCTTAACTCTAACCAATTGTCTTACGTTAGAAATCAGTAAGTAAGGGAACGGTGGGGGAAATGTGGTAGCTAGAGGTGACACACCCACATGGCTCTCATGTACACCCATTCACAAATAGTAGAGCATCAAAGGGGCCTGCTCCATTCAACATTGGGTTTCCCATTCATTTTGCTAAAAGACAAGAAAAAGTAATAAAAGCAGTTAAAAAAATTAAAACACATTTACCACCATAAGTAACTATAAATCATCAAATAGCCAACTATCATGTGTCTCAGGGGCCTATTTCCTCATCTATAAAATTAGTCAGAGAACAAAAGAATAAATGGGAGCCATGAGGTTTTTTTAAACTGATTCTACTGTTACAAAATCACATGTGGAGAGTTGTAGCAATTCTCTTTATGTCTTCCACTAAAAAAGGAAGGAGTCCTCTTGCTGGGATGAAAGGCAATGTTTTTACTAAGTTGGAAAATATTTCCTGAGAGGTCAACCATTTGAATCCACTAAGTT